TAAGTGAAGTTTTTGCTCCATGATCTGTTACCCATGTCCAGCCTTATGTAATTAGGGTGATCGTTAATTTCTTTATGTATACACGCCATATTGAGCAGACTAACAAAGTGAGTATTCAATACCGTAATAAACTTGCTGGCACTGCCATTTAGTCAGTCAGTTGTGAATTTGACTTTCAACAATATAAAGCTTTATCATAGCTCAACTATAATGTGCAACATAAAAAACGGATTTATTGTTGGTAACGTGACAAAACTGACAACCAGAACTCCTAGCACTACCACGACACAAATAATGAAGCTTTATTGGCGGTATGCGAAGACGTCTAAAAACGTTCATTTCAACAACGCTGAAAAGTATCAGCACCCAGTCCACACCACGAATCAGCCTGACACATTTTGCAGTGAAAAACGATCATTGTCAACCTATGAATCACCAGTGACCATGACTCTGCAATCAGTATCTGGTATCCATTCCTCTCACGGATGACATTTGCGAGACGTCTAGCCCGATCTCCTCATGCAGCTGATCAGACGTCTTAATCTCAACATTGGGATCCTCTGGTGCAGTGTCTGGGTAAGTTCATTTAGGGTTTTAACTGGGGAGTTGGCGGCCAAGGTGTTCAATTGGTTCACATGCCGTACCACCAATGTTTTCGGCATGTCAAGCAAAGAATAATTTTATTTCACAAAAAACTGAGCCAAAATTATACTGACGGCCAAAAGAAATTTTACCATAGTAAAACTATGGTAAAATTTCTTTTGGCCGTCAGTATAATTTTGCTATGTTAATCACTCTAGTTTAAAAAACACAAAAGATAGATGCATGAAAGAAAATGTATTGAAAAGATAAAGATCTCAACATTTAAAATGACAGTCATACAGCATCCTAACTTGGCATGAAAATTGCCCGAGTTCAGGTTAGGTATCGAAAACAAGCTTTTAACGTAATGGGCAAAGGGCACACATATCTAAAATCGCTCAAGCTCAATGACACGTTACATTAATAGCGTGTACGACCACCCTCTGCTACAAGACATGCAAAATCTCTCCGACGCACAGGAAAAGTCAGTCGTCTGATGAATGTAAACCCTAATTCTTTGAGCCCCGAGTCGTCTGAGTACTGTCTGTCGAGTAACCATGTGCCTTTAGGCATTCATCGCGCTGATGAAGCCACTGTCAGGAATTGATTCCGGAGATGCAAAGTTCGCAAGTACTTGTCTTCATTGGGCGTAGTTACCCTGGGTCTGCCTGTTCTTGGCCTGTCTGATGTCTGCCCAGTCTGTCTGTAACGTTGCATCAGGTTAGTTACAGCAACACTGACCAACCAAAACTTATAGCAACGTGGGCATGGGTGGCTCCCATCTGTATCATACCCAGAGCCCGCTCGCGTTGTTCTGGTGTCAGTCGTGGCATTTTCTTGTTTGTTTTTTAATCAGCGTCTGAGTCTGACATGCACGTGTAGTTTTGGATGCCCAAGCGGCACATGTTTTTCGCATTTTCTTCAAAACAAATGTGCCCTTGACGTGAATCATTTTCTACACAGAGCATTGTCATCGTTTGTAAGATGTCTTTTACATTGATTTAGTTAACTTGTGTTTTATTTTTTTGCAATTTAATTGCAGTGGTTAAGTTCCTTTTGGCCGTCCGATTAGTTTTCAGAATTTTTTGCATGGTACTTTCCTCCCACATTAATCTGACAGAGAATATTATCTACACCCAGAACCGGGGTTACTTTTACATGACAGCATTTCTTGCATTACTGCTACCAGCGGGGATGAAACGTTTTATTTTTAACCTAAGCTTCAGGTTTTACTTACTGCTGAAAGTGACATTGTTGTCCCACTTGCACAAAGAAATCTGAAACTTCCGTTACCTCTGAACGGGTATATTATATCTAAGATATTCTATCTGCTAGAAATGTGCTCTAACACAAACAATAAAAAAGAAAAATCGTTCCTCATATATCCTTCTTTTCCCCTCATGTAATTAGACTCACGCAATTTATGAATATGAAAATACTTTCTAGAGCCCAAAATTTAAATAGTTATTAAAGCGTACATACAATGTAACCTTAGAAACTTATAAAAAACGTTTAAAACATTTAAACATATCTACAAACCTTTTCAAATATTTAGAACGTTTGAAAATATTTGAAGAGGTTTGTATCAAGGCAACCCGTACATAATCGAATCTGGACAAGGCACCCAGTGGTTGATAGTAAGAGAAATTAAGGATATCCGCGCAATGTTTGATAAAGTGCACAAGGTCTTCAGTTCAAATTTCCCCTACTATGTAATGTTTGTGGTACAAACATGGGATCAGGTGGTTATGTTCTGTGGTTTGGTTGATCCTCGCACCCAAAAGGAAGTGGCTCGGGGCTCATGCCTTCAGTCATTAGTTTGGTGTAGGATGCACTGGTTGCGGCCTCTCTTCCATTGAGAAATCCCACAACGCTATATCACCCACTGATTGCGATTCAAAGATGTTGGTCAAGTCCAAGATTCGATAGTGGGATGCAAAGAGTTGGATCAGAGATGCGGAAAACAATTGTACGACTTGATCTAAACCAATATCTTACGTCATGTCATAATTTATCCCACAAATTATATCAAGCTGTATCATCAAGATATATATTCAAGATATCCCTTGTTATATCCTGTGTTATATTATCCGGTTAATGAACTTTAAAATAATTATGATACTGTGATGTTAAACTATATATTTTAAGGAAATAAAAAAAACAAACTTAATACGCTCGGTAAACAACAGCAAGGGCGCTGTTGATGACCATGGATTTGCATGTACAGTGCAAGGAAATAATTTGGTTGATTATTGTTTGCTCCCAACTACAGTAAACTACGGTTATAACGAACACGCTTATAACGAACTAACGGATATAACGAACTTACTTTTTTGGTCCCGACTATTTGCTGTAGTTATGCTGTATATATGCTTATAACGAACTACGGTTTTAACGAACTAAAATTAGTAGTCCCTTTGAGTTCGTTATAACCGTACTCTACTGTATATGCAACTGTAGCTATGGCCATCCATGTCATCAATCCATATAATCTCTGTAACTGCCGTTTGTTCCTATATCCGCCTCTACACACACAAAGCTTGATTCTCAAGTGAAGTAAGGCTCCCATCTCAGGGATGTCAAGTACCACATGCCCAGATGCAGAATTCCTTAAAGTTTAAGTATTGATTAAATCTATATATAGACCAAGCCATGAGCACATCGCAAAGCCATGCGATCTTATATAATCTCCTTGCCAGTGTTTTGCTTCATTTTGTGTTGTCTAAGAATAACCTATCTGATTGACTCGCAGCCCAGGCTATGTAGGATTGTTAAATCGGAATATGAATGGTAGATAATGACTGCAATGTGTATTATAAGGATTATAATCGGATAGCCATCACTCTGAGAACCCGTCTGAGAACATAGTAAGACCGACGTCTCAATCTGGTTGATCATGAATTGCACCTCCAGTACTACACCCCCATCATGACACTTTCCTACGCCTTGGTACATGTTTGCCGTTAGGTACTTTCAACCTACACCCTAGTGCTGACAGATGTTACACTCTTAATTACACCTAGGTAAAATAATAATAAGGACACATTTACACCGTATTTTCTCTAGAGACCGGGCCCTTCTTAACTTCAGTTTTCTTTTAGACGTGGGTCACGTCCCACAAGGTCGTAACTCCCATACTTTAACATAGACTTAAGTCGTTTGTAGCTCTCCGATCGCTTTGTAGAAGGGGGCCGTAGCCCAGACATTCCAGGTCGGTACTTCTTTCCTGTCTGTGACGTGAAGGGATGGCTTAGTTGACTGAACGTTGTGGTGGGGAAAAAATCATTAGTTCTAGTTGCCAAAGCCTCACCCTAGACCCGGTTCTGTGGAATTAGGCTCTTGCAATTGGCAGTACTGGCAAATTTGGAAGTACTTCGGACATCATTTGTTTGCCTACAGCTCAACTGTTATTGTATAGCAGTTGATGATAGCCTAATGGCATGTGTCATATTCAAACAAGGTACTACTAACAACAAAACATCTGCAGTAACCATAACTCTGTGCTGCTCCCAACAAACAGTTTTGATTTTGACTTATTGACGCTACACAGAGCTACGGGCTGTTCCACAGTGTTTTCCGAAAGATCCCCGATCCAAATCTGCACCGCACTTTTTATGCTTCAGCGACAAATGCATCATGATTCTCTTCCTGAGACACTTGCCTTGCTATACGGGTACTTATATGTTAGAGTGAGTGAGTGAGTATGATGCCGCTTTTAGCAATATTCCAGCAATATCACGGCGGGGGACACCAGAAATGGGCTTCACACATTGTACCCATGTCGGGAATCGAACCCGGGTGTTAGGCATGACGAGCTTACACTTTCACCACTAGGCTACCCGACCGCCCCCTTATATGTTAGATCGTACTACAACATATTTACTTACTGAGTTGGAAACCGGAACGGTAAGACAAACCCTATGTACATAGGAAGTTGCATGATCGAAAATATAAGTATATATATTTGAAGGCCAGTGTTTTGGGAAGTGAATCGTGTTGCTGTTTTCGTGGGATTACGATTTATGAACACAGGGGCAGGGTATGTTCCGAATTAAGAATCCACGAGGAAAACACTATGGGACAGCCCGTGGCTCTGTAGTCAATGTCAAAATCAATTATAGCAGTACAGAGGTAGCTAGAAAAACACATTGGCCCAGAACTTGCATTATGCCCACTCTTTACTGGATCCCGACTATTAGTAGAAGAGTTAATAGAAATGGTATATTGAATATACCGTTTACGTCAATGATCCCAAATGCAAAATAATCAAAGGTCACTCCAAAAGGTTTCATCGATGTTGTGGATGCTGCTTTAGACGTCTATGGCCATGTATGGTCAGATCCTATATATAGACATCCGCAGACGACACCACAAGCAGACGACACCTCATCGCGAGCAGACGACATCGCCGGGCAGACGACATCACCGGACAGACCCTCCGTGCGGCTTCGGGCTATCTCTGGGCATGTCTACCACAGAATTTCATCGTGTGTCTGTCTGTCAGAATAAGATTTTAAGAAGAGTCTGCCATCACGTGACTTGTGGTAATTTCCACCTAGATATCGATCTTACCGTTTGCTTATACATTGATTAAGAGTTTCGTAACGTGTGAACTATTGGTTGCGAAGAATATCGATCCGTCTCCGCGACCTGTTGGACTGATACAGGCGACAATATGTGTACACGACAGTGGTCCTCCTGAACACACGGTCATTGACTGTAGTTATGGCGTGTCTCATCACCGGGGAGGTACATCCTCGCGTATTGTTTGCAACTGACGGTGATCTTATCTCCCTTGTTAGTGTCGTGTTGAAAACAATAGAGCTTGTCTAATTATTGATTTTCTGTTGGATGACAGATGATGAATTTGAGAATGGCGAGCAAAGTATCGGAATAAGACGCTTGGTGTCCATTTTCGAAATATATTACGTTGACTAATATATTCAGATCAGGAAAATACTCCACTGTTTTGAAAATCATGTGTGGACTTTTGCAGAGTTAACTGTTCGGGTAAATAGAACCGGGATTCACCAATACTAGATCACACACCGACGAAGCTGGGTCTGAGATAACTACCTTTGTGTGTTTCTTAATGTGCTATTAGCAAAGACGATACTCAATCACAAATCGATCAGATTAGATTGCAAGAAATACAAATTAATTATGCCATTTGTCTCTGTTGAGCCTGTTTGGCGTTTAGCAGCCAACAATTACATAACTCGTACTTCAATACTTGGACATCGATTGTGTTAGTCGTCGCGGAGGCTTCCACCGTTTCAGCAGCGTCGGTCACTCCTCCATCTCCGACTGAAGCCTGCGTCGTAAGCAGCCATAACCAGCCTTGCACAACAGTCAACACTCCAGCTACTGTTACATCGGAGACTATGACCCAGCAACCATATTCCCATATGATTCATGAATTCTTCTCCCAATAACCGATAAAGGCCAGCACTATCTTTCTTCAACCGTGTGCTGATTGCGTCACCAGCTAGCATAAGGACAGAGGCGGCTCGGCAGGGTCAACTGGAAGGTTGGGGGCAATGTGATTAGACTAGCATACGCTTACTGTCCATCGTGTACGCTCGGAGGACGACATCCAAGACATAGGATGACTTGTTATGTTTACAAAGGGAATACGGACGTGGAAGAAAACAAATGATTGCATTCACATCGCCGTTCATTGCCCTCCTGTGTGTTCTACTCTCGGACCTGTGCAGGGGTAAGTGCCACCGGGTCTTGTCAGGGTCTGTTCGCGGGGTCTGTTCACGGGGTCTGTTCACGGGTCTGGTCACTGGGTTTATGGCTTCATGATAATTGTGTACATCTGGGAACGGTCCTTGGTATGACGTCATGGAGTGCTTCTAACAATTGTGATGATTCTTCTGTAGGAAATGGTTGCATTGGAAAAAAGACATTTTTTTAAAATTGTTAATTGTTATTTGGATGGTCTGTGTGTATGTTGTAGCAATGATCAAATATGAATGTATCGTTTGAATGGATATATGTGTATGACTGAATATTGTTTGTTTGTTTTTCATCTTGCAATGAGTCATACACTCACAGCCAAGCATATTTTATGTCACATGTCATTTCTTTACTTCAATTTATGAACCCACGATCATCGAGGTGTTGTATGTATTTCAACATAATGCCGGTGTTTTCATCTGGAAAGGTTACTGATGTATATGAATGTGTTGCCAAGCAACAGCTCTTCAACACAGAGTCAGAGGTTCACAATGCAATGTCGAATAATGCAAATGTCAAAGTGGATGTTAACCTTAGGATTAGCTCACAGTGAAGACGAAGGAAAAGATGCGCACAAATACCTTTAATGGGTTATACCTGTTAATGATATAGGAGAATCATACTATGGTCTCTTATGATTATGAAATGGGTTTGTAATGATTATGAAAGGAACAAATAAAAAAACACAGATATATATCGAACTGTGATTCCAATTCAACTACCAGTCAAGCTCGAGACGTGTCCTGCTCGCGGTTGTACGTTACAGATGATGTCTGATGTATTTAAAATATATAGTGTTGGGCGACAGTGAACGGACGAGGAGACAATGACGTTGCCATCATCCTGGATATTGGACATATGGATGTAATTACCGACACGGCCAGGGGGAACACGATTCAGGCTATTTATGACATGTGATTAATGACCGCTGTTGCGCACATCTGTGAGAGCATGTCACATAGTCTAGATTACCAGAGCGATATGTAGCCCGATAACACACATAAGTGAAGGGGGGGTCGGGTAGCCTAGTGGTTAAAGCGTTCGCTTGTCACCCTGAAGACCCGGGTTCGATTCCCGACATGGGTACAACGTGTGAAGCCCATTTCTGGTGTCCCCGCCGTGATATTGCTGGAATATTGCTAAAAGCGGCGTAAAACTATACTCACTCACCCCATAAGTGAAGTAGTGTTCAGAAGTTGAGTGGGTGAGTTGGGTTTAACGCCAGTTGAGCAGTATTACAGTTACATTACGGAGTGTCAGCTTAATGTGGAAGGAATGCCTGAAGTGATGCAGGTCTCAGACGTTTACCACTTTGGTGAAACCCACGAGCACTGGTATAGTGCTGACAAACCAAGACATATATTCGAGTCGAATCGGGATTCGAACCCTGACAAACTCAAACGTCGGTGGGAAGCATCACAATCTCTTGGCTTACTGGTACGAATTTGTTTGTAATTGATTGGATTGTCAGCATTGTCGTTGCCACAACACTCCTAGAGAAAATCTACAGTCAATATCATTCAACACTATTATCACAACGACATAGCGAATTCGTAAAGACTGTGGACATTAGAAGAAAATGCAACGATTCGTAGTTCAAGACGAGCATAAAGCAAATGTTCTATGTGTTGCGCATCCCTCAGAGTATAATGGTTTGAATACCTTGATGACTACAACGCAATTATATGACCACTATGTTTATAATTTACCACAAGTTGATGCATTTGTTTATCGTCCTATTGCCAGGTAATCTCCAGACGAGAATATGTTTATGTCTAGGCTCTGCACATCATGTATATACTCGTCATGAACGAGAACATGAAGTATTGTAGTTAGCAAGGCTTCATGGAGGCCTCTTTAATAGCGTGAAGGGTTTTCTACACGAAAGTCTGTATTGTCGTTACACTGATGAAATGCGTGACGTATTGAAATAAAAACGACAAAACCCTTTCCAGAATCATAAGAAATATCTGCCAAAAGCAACGTTCATTGTATGCTATACCCTCACAAGAATGGGTTTATGAATCACTGTCAAATAGTTGTGACGCCAGGTGTTCACGAAAAGGTGAGCGCATCTGGCCACCGGTGGCACCCGAGACCCAAGTGTTCCAGCAAGACATGCCTATCCTTGTCGCGGCCACCTGGGGTCATCTCTGTTTTTTTAGTGACCCATTCGTATAATTTTCGCCGCTATCTTGCCTTTTACGCCCAATGGAATCTGTGACATCGGATAATCAAGACTGGTTATTCTCTGACGTTGAAGTTTTATATTTATTAGGTCAACCTATGGTAACCGCCATAATGTTCTTTAAAGTATGTCTTTCTTTCAAAGCCAAGTCCGATTGTCTCCCCAAACCCCTATATGCCAATACCCCTACACCCAAATACCCCAATACCCCTACACTTAGTGAAACTAGCATAGGGAATTTAGCTTTGTCATAGCAGAACAGTCCGATGACCATTAACGCCAGTTAATCCTTGAAAGTGACAATAAGCTGAGAAGAAATAAGCCTAGGTTAACAATCTTATTATCGGTTGGATGTGATCAAAGATATTTATGCCAAACATGTGACAATAGCCATTCATTGTTCTCAGGAAATGATTGGGTTTTTTAAAAATTATATGTTTATTTCCAACTACGCACACAGATTAAAAAGCAGTATTGTTGATGAATGAAAAAATCACACGAATCATCAGTTTTTCGTTTCATCATCTTCAAATATATATTTGTAGCTGTGATTCTTTGTTGTAATCTTAACTGAAACCATTCGGAATTTGCTAAAAACGTTTACATTCAGGTAGTAACAAGTGTTTTATCATTCCATTTATTAGCAGTAAAATGTGTTTCTAATACATCATCCTATTTTTCTTCCCATTTGACTCGATATATATATTTTCAATGAATTTCCAGCCATTTTAATATTCAGTCAACAGATCAAATTAATGGTTTCAGCGGACCCGTTAATTTCTGGGGGTACTGTTATAAGGTATATAAGGTATACATCTCAACATGCCATTGCATTGTAAAAAGTTAACCTTTATTCTATATGTTTTCTTTATGTCCATAAACGATAAATATTCATCTTGCTCTTTCAGTATATCAGTAATAGTTCTTACTCCTTGAGAATACAAAAGTTAATCAAACAGTTTTACCTCCAAGTTTTATTTGATCGTTGTTCCACAAACTTTGTGAAACTGTATTGAGCTGGTTATTATAATTTATACAAATTTAAATTTTTCCCATGAGCACATCTACCTATTTTTCTTATTATTTGCTAATGACCAGAGACTTAAAACACCCGTCCAATTCTTGCATACGGTAGGCCTTCTTATCAAACTTGAAAAATCACTTGAAAGATGATACTGTGGATATTTATGTGCTTACTCACGAAGTCGAATCTATGTGCTTGGTGATTAAAATGTGCTATGTAATTATATTTGTCACCCTGTGGATATTTATGTGCATACTCAGAAATTAGTTGAATCTGCGTGCTTTAAGAGTAAAATGTGTTATTTATTTTGTAATAATTATCATCTCCATACATTTTGGTTCATTTATATGGATTAACCCTTTCGATAAAAAGTAAGGGGTTAGCTGTGCACTCAACTGCAAAGTGTGTTGCTATATGCTGTAGGGGCTATGGGATGAAAGGGTTTTGGGAGGATACCCCCAGTCCGATGCATTGCCTCCATATAGCAGTACCGCAATATACTGTGGTTACCCGTGTGTAACTGAGTAAGTATTGATTACAACAATACATACAACGATATAACGATCTCAGTTCGACCATCAACATAGTTCGTTTTATTCGAACGTTGTTATTCATGGATCGATGCCATTTATAACCCCTTTCGTTATAACCACATATTCGCTATATCCGAATGTAGTAGACCAGACTGGAGCCCATATCTGGTGCACCCCTCCACCATGGTTTTGCTGGAATATTGCTGAAATCGACCCACTACACTCACTCCGAGTTAACAGTGGGTGATATGATCTTCACGACGCTTCATCTGCATGGGTTACTAAAAGATGGGGTAGCTTAGTGGTTACATCTTTGACTCGTCACGCCGATGACCCGGGTTCGATTCTCTGCATGGTGAAGCCAGTTTGTGGTGTCCCCTTCAGTGATGTGGCTGAGGCACTCACTCACTTCATCATGATTCTGTTATTATTGAATATAACAAGGAAGAAAGGGGAGTCAGACAGACAGTGATAGACTTCGATGAATAACCCTTGCAGTATACATGTGGACAGTTACAATCAAAGGAAGCTTTGTACACAATATGTTCAGTCCAGCCATTCCTGTAGTACATGACAGTCTGACGAAAAATGAAATATTGATTTATATGAGGCTGCTTTAGTCCCTAGAAGGTGTGGTCTTGCCACGAACCACGTGATCAGTGGGATTAACAGTACGTAGACAGTGTGGCCATATGTGATCTTCACTGAATGTATGTTAGCAATAGATTTTAGCAGAGATTTCATGTGAATATGGAGCGATTTTGTCGCATTGTATGTCGGAGGTTAAACTGTGTTCATATGATGCATTGTGTGATGGCGACTAGAGTGTGTTCATATCATGCATTGTACGTTGGAGACTAGAGTGTGTTCATATCATGCATTGTACGTTGGAGACTAGAGTGTGTTCATATGATGCAATGTAGGTTGGAGACTAGAGTGTGTTCATATCATGCATTTGTATGTTGGAGACTAAAGTGTGTTCATATGATGCAATGTAGGTTTGAGACAGAGTGCGTTCATATGATGCATTGTATGTTGGAGACTAAAGTGTGTTCATATGATGCAATGTAGGTTGGAGACAGAGTGCGTTCATATGATGCATTGTATGTTGGAGACTAAAGTGTGTTCATATGATGCATTGTATGTTGGAGACAGAGTGTGTTTATATGATGCATTGTATGTTGGAGACTAGATTGCGTTCACGTGATGCAACGTATGTTAGAGACTAG